GGAATATTTTGCAGATATTTTTGCAGATATTTCTGGCCCGTTTGTCTGAAATGGTCCAGGGTCTCCTGCTTGAGCAGGGGGCTGGACTAGAAGACCTCCAAGGTCCCTTCCAACTATTATTCTGCGAGAGGAGGAAGAAATAGGAGGAGATGCCTGGGTCAGGGTCTTCCCTCGTCCAGCCGATCTGCCTTCTTCAACCGGGGTGCCCTGCAGATGTTTGGGACTGCAAGGCCTGCCACCTCCCAGCTCCAGACTGTACCAGCTGGGTTTGATGAGAACGGTAATCTAAAACATCTGGAGGGCTGCAAGGAGACCCTGACTATTAAGGAGAGCTCTCTCTCTCTCTCTCTTTTTCTTTCTCTCTCTCTCTCTCTCTCATTCTCTCTCTCTTTTTCTTTCTCTCTCTCATTCTCTCTCTTTCTCTCTTTTTCTTTCTCTCTCTCATTCTCTCTCATTCTCTCTCTCATTCTCTTTTTTTTCTCTCTCTCTCTCATTCTCTCTCTCATTCTTTCTCATATTCTTCTCTCATTCTCTCTCTCTCTTTCTCTCTCTCTCATTCTCTCTTTCTCATATTCTTCTCTCATTCTCTCTCTCTCTCTCTCATTCTCTCTCTCTCTCATTCTCTCTCTCTCATTCTCTCTCTCTCATTCTCTCTTTCGCTCTCTCACTCTCTCATATTCTTCTCTTTCTCTCATTCTCTCTCTCATTCTCTTTTTTCTCTCTCTCATTCTCTCTTTCTCTCTCTCTCATTCTCTCTCATTCTCTTTCTCTCTCTCTTTCTCTCTCTCATTCTCTCATTCTCTCTCTCATTCTCTCTCTATCATTCTCTCTCTCTCTCTCTCATATTCTTCTCTTTCTCTCATTCTCTCTCTCTCTCATTCTCTTTTTTCTCTCTCTCTCATTCTCTCTCTCTCATTCTCTCTTTCTCTCTCTTTCTCTCTCTCTCTCTCTCTCTCTCTCTCTCTCTCTCTCTCTCTCTCTCTCTCTCTCTCTCTCTCTCTCTCTCTCTCTCTCTGGGAGCTGAGAGTCCAGCAGGCAGAAATGATCCCTCTGCCTGGAAGAAGCTGAGGAGGCTTTGAAACTTGATCTCTCTCTCTCTCCACACAGCCAGGGCTGGGTTTGTTTTGGCAGAGGCAGCCCAGCTGTGAACCAGGTTTAATCTCAGACACCGGAAATGTCTTCCCACCCAAACGAGTCCTTTATATGCACAAGTTTTCCAGGAAGACCCCATCCTTCCAAATATCCCAAACCATCTGCCAGGAGTTAAATAAAGCTGCCCGATTTCAGCAGCGGTTTGAGGCGCGCCTGCACAAAAGCCAGTCTCGGGGAGTTCCAAGGACCAGCGTCTGATAACAGTAGCTTTAATGGATTGTTCTCCCTCTTGCTTTCAGGTGGGATTGTGCTTCAAATTGTGTTCCTGCACCTTTCTGCGGCGTTTCGCCCATGCTTAGAAACTCTGTTAAAGGGTAGAGTGTCAAACATCTGTTCAATGCTCAGCTGCATTAACAGAGGGATAGAATCAAGATCAGGTGAAGTATTAATACCACTTTACAAGGCCTTGGTAAGGCCACACTTGGAATACGGCATCCAGTTTTGGTCACCACAATGTAAAAAAGGTGTTGAGACTCTAGAAAGAGTGCAGAGAAGAGCAACAAAGATGATCAGGGGACTGAAGGCTAAAACCTATAAGGAACGGCTGCTGGAATTGGGTCTGTCTAGTTTAACGAGAAGGATGAGGGGGGACATGATAGCAGCCTTCCAATCTCTCAGGGGCTGCCTCAAAGAAGAGGGAGTCAAGCTATTTTCCAAGGCGCCTGAAGGCAGGACAAGGAGCAACGGATGGAAACTAACTCAAAGAGAGAAGCAACCTGGAACTAAGGAGAAACTTCCTGACTGTTAGAACAATTAACCAGTGGAACCACCTGCCTCCAGAAGCTGTGAATGCTCCAACACTGGAAGTTTTTAAGAAGAGACTAGACAGCCATTTGCCTGAAATGGTAGAGGGTTTCCTGCCTGAGCAGGGGGTTGGACTAGATGACCTCCAAGATCCCTTCCAACTCTGTTATTCTATTCTATTCTATTCTATTCTAGAGCAACAAAGCAATTAATGCTATCATGTCCCCCCTCATCCTTCTCTTCATTAAACTAGACATACCCAATTCCAGCAACTGTTCTTTGTATGTTTTAGCCTCCAGTCCCCTGATCATCTTTGTTGCTCTTCTCTGCACTCTTTCCAGAGTGTCAGCATCTTTTTTACATCGTGGTGACCAAAACTGGATGCAGGATTCCAAGTGTGGCCTTACCAAGGCTTTGTAAAGTGGTATTAATATTTCATTTCATCTTGACTCTTATCCCTCTATTAATGCAGGGCTAAAGGCTTCTTGGAAAGCAAGCAAGGAGATTCGGGGAGGGGGGGGGAAGGGGGAGGGGTCCTGCAGAGCAAATCTACACATGTTTAATCCAAAGTACACATGGATTTGATTTAGGCTCCTATTTGTTTTTCGTTGGCATTTCATCTAAGGCTTCTCTCCCAACGACGTCTGAAATTCAGGGCTGTCTGGAAAGGGGGATTATTTACATAAAGCTCCTTGCTTCCATCCTGCAGGTAAATGGTGTGGGTATGTGTAGGCATGCACAGGCTGTTTTTTGTTATCCTGGTTCAGCCAGATTGCAGATGACTCACAACACCCAGCCGTTCCCCCCCAGCTACGCTAAAGGGTCTGCATTCAAAACCTCAAACCGTTGGCCTTTCAGTCTGGGTTTGCAACCTGAAATGGGAAATCTCAAGCCTTTAATGTTTCTTGGCAAAAAATATCTATGGATAGACAGAGCAAGAGAGAGGTCACTGCCAGGCATGGAAGCCTTTCTTTTAATAAGCAAAAAAATAAAAATAAAATAGAACCCACAAATTCTTGAATTCCCTTGCTGAGAAAATTCAGTTTCTCAAACCCGGAAACCTTACGACGTGGGGACTTCAACTCCCAGAATTCCTCAGCTGAAACCGGAACCAGCATTTAACTCAGTTTCTCAAACCCGGAAACCTTAAGAGGC